TTTTGCCACATGCTGTGATGTCCGACTGTGCGGATCAGGGCTGGCGTTACCTTGTATTATCACCAAACAAGCGACCCGCCCTCGCTTCGCTTCGGAAACCGTAATTTATTATTGATTTCTCCACTATTTAATGGATGTTATTATACATAGGTACTAGTGATCCCCGATAGTCGAAATTCGACTATAATTTATTGAAATTATAAGTTTGTACATTATTATGATTCTATTGTCAAAGACTAATAAATTTCTTTAATCACGGATTTCGCCAAGACTAAACGCACTTTAGACAAATTTAATAAAGACAAAACAATATTTAATCTATTCTCAATTTGACCACAGACTATAACTGACAGACTGCAATAAGAAAAGTTTGACAATAAACAAATGGTATGCATGCGTGTGTGGTCAAATACATTCTTGAAAACATTCTTTATTGTTTTCATGTAATTTTTATGCATAATTAAAAAAAAATTGTTAAATTATCATCCGGCACTCCTCTATATTCTCTATAAGTGTGGAAAATTTCATACTCCTCCGTCCGCGCAATTTTCGTAAAAAGGGGTACTAAGTTTTTGCTTGATGTATTAATATATAGATGTATTGTAGAATAACATGACATAAACTAGCGTAAATACCTATGCACTTGAAAGCACGTTGTATATGAATCGCTGCAAACCTGAAGGTGCTCTTAATATATTTTTTTAAACCAGATATTCCAGGTAATAAAGCTTAAAAAATGTGTATTATAAATATAAATGTTATATCTAAAACCGAATAAACATGTTTCTTCGGATATCAACAAAACGTTATAAAGCACGATTCTCCGACTCGAACCACAAAAGTTTCGACAGTAGCTTTCACGAAAATTGCATTAGTTTATTTGAAATTCAAACTAAGTTACATAGGGGTACATGAAGGGGATACATGTGGGGAATCAATTATTAATAAAAAGGTATTTAAATGAATATACCTACCCAAAAACAAATGTCAGTTGCAGGAAAGTTAAGTGTGTAAAGATTTTGTTTTTCCTATGAGAAATATCTTCAAGAATAATTAATTAAACGGGGGTGGAATAAATGAAATTTTAAAGTATAATAAAATCACGTATAATAAACATGGATGCATAAAGGCAGAGAAATGTGTACCCATGGACTACCGCATTGAAATTATTGATTGTATACAATTTATTATAAAATATTGATTGAAATTTTGCTTACTAAACAGAAACGAGATAAATTCGCTATACAAAGCGTACCTATATATAAATGTAGTAGCTATCTCTACATATTTGAATATAAAATCCACTATATCCACCATATGAAGTACGCTAAATAATAAAACGAGAAACTGGATTAACTAAGAGTTAAAAGCTACATTTTATAAAAATAAATGAATAATTTTTTTTTTTATATTTTTTTGTCTGAAATCTCCAAAAGCTTGAAGGAAGCTACACGTGATGCTAAGGTTGGCTGGTACTTTGCACAGAGAGCGAGCCTGGCTGTCCAACGAGGTAACGCAGCCAGCATCCTGGGAACTGTGCCTCCATCGAGCGCATTGGAAGATTTGTTCTACTGTATAAATTGATTTATGTTAAATTATTTTGATTTGTTAACATTATTGACATAATTACTGACATAAATAAAATTCTTCCTTTTCGTACACTCTCGACAGAATGGTCGTGGTCAGCATCAGTCGGATCCTGCGATACCGATGCTCTCGCGATGCGATACCATGTGGCACGGTGTTTCGCAGAGTGAGAGCAATCGTTTATGTTGGAGTGAGTCACAGATTTTATGAGGTCGGTCCATCGTGTTGGAGATCGCCCGCGAGATCTTTTGCCCCCGGCTTTCCCTTGCACCACCAACCGCTCAATGGAGACCTTATTACGAGTGATGTGCCCGAAGAACTTGAGGATTCGTATTGGGACTCTTGACGATAGTCTCTCCTTGATGTTGAGCTCTTTCAGGATCGAAACGTTGGTACGGTGCGCGGTCCACAGAATACTGAGGAGACGTCTGCAACACCACATTTCCAGTGCGTCTTACGACGGTCTTGCATCTAAATGCATGCAAATAAAATATAAAAAGACAAATAAAAAATGAATGAAAAGTAAAGAAATTAATATGTACGAGTATATAAGTATCTCGTTTCCGTATAAGGGAAATTCAATTTGGGGCTAGGTGAATGTGTGTGCTTTTTCCCTGATTATTTATCTATTTATGTAGGATGGCGGAATAACGAGAAATGGATCTCAGCTTATTTATTTTTTATTTATTACACAAAGAAACAACAACATATCATTTTTACATCTTACCACCACCACCACACACTAATCTTTTTTTTCTGACTACCTACTGACTTTGACAGACCATCCACAAATTTGGGTTGTCAGATTTAAATAAAATTAAATTCTAAAAAATACTCCACATTTATATATAACAAAAACATTGTATTTTCATGCCAATGTGTATATATTTTAGGGTTTAATCCTTCGTTTAAAATTATCAGTTTACAATACTCCGGTGTTTCGATTACTTTGTATGGAGTAGTTTTCGTTGCCACTGCCGACTAGGTCATTGTTCGTCGCAATTCGAATATTTTGCTGACGATAAAATCCTACACGCAGTTAGAACGCACAGTATCTTGAGGTATAAAAATTTTATTAACTTATTGGGGTAATGCTCAGTTGTTGACATTGTCGTAATTTAATACGACTCGCGTCACGTTTGTCGAAATAATATCTATTATATCTAATGTGCAACTGACGCGTTTCGATTAGAATAGTAAGCAATATTTAATATACAGGAATTTTAAGAAAAATTCCTATACAGAAATAGTTGGATCTAAATATAATTTTGTGACCTTGTCATTTCGTAATGAGTTATATTGAGTTCTTGATGAAATATTTTGTGAGAAGTTTTAGAAAAATTCAATGATTCTACGTTCCACTGCGTTCTTTTATTGTATAATTTTTTACTGTCTACCATTTTTTTCCTACTTATGCTGATTGCCTTGAGATGCTGTATCAGCTTTACCCTAGCGTGTAGGTGAGCTCTCGGGGCTCAAACCTGAGGTGTTGCTAACACTGGCCTTAGCAAGAGCAGTGCTTCGCAGAATCTACAACCGGATCGGAAACGCGACCCACTGAGAAGATCCGGCGAGAAACTCAGTGGGCTTTATTGCCTTCCATACTGTCTATTGTCGATTAAAGCGATATATATAGTGGACTGTAGGATTAGGATGGGCAAGTAACTTAATAAATAAACTCGCGAGGATTGCACGTATAAAATTTTTATTTTTGGAAATTTTATAATTCGCGTACAATAGCACGAAAAAAAGAGAATGACAAATCTAAGACTTTTTTTTATTGCCCTTGTAGGCAGACGAGCATACGGTCCACCTGATGGTGAGTGGTTACCATCGCCCATGGACTACAGCAATGCCAGGGGCAGAGCCAAGCCGCTGCCTACCAAGCCGCTACCTACCTGCTGTAATTATTTAGGTACTCTTCAAAGGGATAGGACATACTTAGTATCTCAACTGTAATCTCATCAAACCCTATTAATTCAAAATTTCTAAATTCAAAGGTAATGTCAAAACCACAACCACAACAATAAAAAAAAAAGTTTTATACCAATTTGTTGGGTTGCCAACATGTTATACCAACAATTTGGTTAAAAATAATTAATAATTACTCACCGTGTACATACATTAATTTAAAAGAACATTCATACTGTTCCAGTCCGGTAGAATAAAACCGTCAGAAGTCTTCTATGTCATTGTGTCGCAGTGTAAATCTCATGTAGATATTTGTGTCTTAGTGTCGCTCTACGACCTTTTATTCCGTTTCATCGAATTTCCAATCACAAAGATGCCACAGAAGTTTTCACTTGAAAAAAAAAGTAAAACTAGTGGTAGGACCTCTTGTGAGTCCGCACGAGTAAGTACCACCACCCCGCCTATTTCTGCCGTGAAGCAGTAATGCGTTTCGGTTTGAAGGGCGGGGCAGCCGTTGTAACTATACTGAGAACTTAGAATTTATATCTCAAGGTGTGTGGCGCATTTACGTTGTAGATGTATATGGGCTCCAGTAACCACTTAACACCAAGGTGGGCTGTGGGCTCGTCCGCGCATATGAGCAATAAAAAAAAAAAGTAAAATATCCAAATTGGTCCTTCGATCTGGTAATAAGAATATTTGTGAATGTTAGTCCTGTTGTAGGCTCAATTTGGTTGAGTATAACTGCATTGTCTGTCCCAGCTTTAAAATAATCATACGTTCTCGTTTAAAGGGTCAGGGGTCCTATAGTCCAATATAATTAGGACTTTGACAACACGTCTCACGGTCTATGGGCTCTGTTAGCAAATTAACGATTAGTGGGCAATCAATTCAGCCATTAATGCCTGTGAAAACTTTTAAACCGTTGCTTAATTACTGGTTCAATAATGGACTTAAAATATGCATTTATTCTTTACGCTCTGTCGATCTCTTGTTTGCCCAAATGTGCAAAAATCATTTTCACTTCTTGCCTATGAACTAATGAAAACTGTATTCATACTGACGTGGAATATACAAGCTTACGTGTCAAAATGACAGCGTAGGTGTGAAAAGGTGTTAAAAAAGACACATTTTTTTTAATTAGTTGTTACTTTTTTTGTTTTATACACACTTTGTGTAGTATTAAGCGGTAGGCAGCGGCTTGGCTCTGCCCTTGGCATTGCTGAAGTCCATGGGCGACGGTAACCACTCACCATCAGGTGGGCCGTATGCTCGTATGCCTACAAAAGCAATAAAAAAAAAAATGTTTTCACCGCTACTCTTTATTCATACAAAACGCACGCACAATTATGACGGGTTGTCATCGCCTACCCGAAAATGTATCAAGACATTTGTACAGAAATCGCATGAAAAAATAATTCGGTTCCCTCGTTTTTATACGTCTGCCGATTGGTCTGAATTCTAAAGAACATTAGAGCATAATTTATGTTATTTGTTCTCAGGATCCGAAAATCCGCAACGTCGTCCTCATCGGGAGCCAAGGGTCGCTCGAAGAGAAGACGGTCACGGTTTGTCACGGCACGGACTTCGTCAACGTGAATTTCATTAACTTCTGCTGCACTAGGAAGGAAATTGCACAGGTAAACCTCGACTCGACCGGACCTCGATGCTGCGTTTGACCGATTTAATCTGTGGCGCACCGAGGTACCCGCTGTCGTTTGTATTGTGTGTTGGAATTGTGCCAATATTGTGGGCTTCAAATTGTGTATGTAACCTCCAGAGTAAATAAACATAAGCGGGCTAGGAACATTTTGAGTTGCCCTAATGGAGTACAGTTTTTAGGCAGCGGCAGAGCCAAGTCGCTGCCTTGGTATTGCTGACGTCCATGAGCGACGGTAACCACTCACCATCAGGTGGGCCGTATGCTCATTTGCCTACATGGGCAATAAAAAAAAAGGCACGTCCGGTTTAGTTTCGTGAGCGGCTAATTTTGTTAAGCTAGAAATGGCAACGATTGTGGTCAGTAAGTAAAGTTTTTTTTGCTTAGATGGGTGGACGAGCCCACAGCCCACCTGGTATTCAGTGATTACTGGAGTCTATAGACATCTACAACGCAAATGCGCCATTCATCCTCAGATACGAGTTGTTCTAAGGTCTCAATTATAGTTACAACGGCTGCCCCACCCTTCAAACCGAAACGTATTACTGTTTCACGGCAGACATTAACAGGGTTTGAGTTGCCAGCGGACTAGACTAATGTAAGTAGTAAGTAGACTAATGTAGGTCAAGATCACATTTTCTTAGCCCTACACATGCAGCTCAGGCTTTATTCCTGCCTCAGTTTAAGCAATCTTCCTGTTGACAGAACAAGGCTAACAGGACGTGTTTTGTCTGAAACCGAAAAGTATTATGCCACAATGATGATGATTTAGTTATTGAATACAAATAAGTTTTATCGATACGCTTGAAAAGTCCGATATTCAAATCTATCGATTTTGCAATAATTCATGCACTAGTTGCTTACTGTGACGTAAAAGTATCCGTTGATATAATACTCGTACGGTTTAATCTAATCTCATGAAAAGTACAGATTTATATAAATAATTACATTACGAAATGTACATCAGTAACGTTTTCATTTAATTATATAATGTTAGGTAGAAGAACTAATTAATCTGAAATGTTTTAAGAGTACAGAAGTAACGTCTTGTATTTCTTCTAAGCATTTTTATTTCTTAGAAGTCAGAAAGAAAGTGCCTCCACGTTTTTTTTAAATTTAATTAAAGCAAATGGACGAACCGGAGTCGCTTTCACGCCCAATTTACAAGAGGAAATGCGTCTCGGAAACAATTCGCCAAATGAAATTATTTTACCTGTAGGTACGTGAGGATCGTAATAAAAAATAAAATACGATATAACCCACGTAGATGTTCGTAGAATTTCCACAAATTCTCGATACAGAGCCTCGAATATATTTTCAATGTATTGCACGCAGTTCGATATCCGTGTTCAGTCGAGCGGGCGGCCCATCCTCCGTAACAGAATTGTATTGGAGATTAAAAGTTTCCTTTATTTTGTCGCATCGACTGAAAAATAGGACGAGGTAGCAGCGCCTACCTAAGAGGAAACGGTTGAGTTTTTGAACAGAAAGCGTTGCGTGTGAATTTCACGATGTTTCTATTCAAAAATTTACTATTCACTGGTGGTAGGTCCTCTTGGGAGTCCGCACGGGTAGGTACCACCACCCCGCCTATTTTCCCGCCGTGAAGCAGTATTTCGTTTCGGTTCGAAGGGTGGGGTAGCCGTCGTAACTATACTGAGACCTTAGAACTGATATGGGTGGGTGGCGCATTTAGGTTGTATATGTCTATGGGCTCCAGTAACCACTTAACATCAGGTGTGCTGTAAGCTAGTCCATCCATCAAAGCAATAAATAAAAAAAATTATTTCACCTGAAACTGGATAAGACTTCATTAACTCGGGAGACGGAAATGAATGTGTCATTAAGTACGTTTGTTTTTATGGAGACAGACGCATTTGCGTTATTTTGCGAGTGAAACGAGAACTGGCGGCTTCATATTCTATGATGGTACCGCATACAGTAAGTGCTTACCGGAATGTACACAAAAACGACATGATAAATATTGTATAAAAGCGATGATATATGCGACGCAGTTTTTCTAGCGATCATAACAACGTGCCATTACTCAAAACGGACATATTTGCGAATCAAGAGAAATAGACGGTTCCTCATTTATGTAGTATTTGAATATCTCCTTTATAGATTTTGCGAGTTGGTTGTTCTTTTTTTTTTTTGCTTAAATGGGTTGACGTGCTCACAGCCCACCTGGTATTAAATGGTTACTGGAGCCATAGACATCTACAACGTAAATGCCCCATATAGTCACAACGGCTGCCCCACCCTTCAAACCGAAATGCATTACAGCTTCACGGCAGAAACAGGCAAGGTGGTGGTACCTACCCGTGCGGACTCACAAGAGGTCCTACCACCAGTAATAATAAAAATAATTGTTGACGATTATATCTGTTTGCGGCTCGCTTGTCGCTTCTCTGTTTCATGATTGATAGATATACTGCGTTTGAGGTTGTGACGTCACAGGCTCACAACGGGCCGGACGGTCAAGGTTTGTGTCGCGCGTACGCTTTTGTTTATGGGTTTTTGACACCGTTTGAGTGACATGTTTAAAACAGGTCGGCCCACGTTACGTGGCTACCAAATGGAACGAACTGAACACGAAACCGGGGTTCCAAGGATTTTTAAATTTAAAAAAAAACACGATCGATGGTAACCTATTTTTATTTTTGGGCCGTTTCGTAAATTCCTGAGCTTTATGAAATAATGAAAAAAGTATAGTACATACCAAGAGTCTATATACCCTTTAAGTAGGTTTTACCTATCTTTTTCTGGACTGTTGCTTGGTATGATGGTAAAAAGAAAGGTTTTTTTTTTTTTAATTGCCAGATATGTGGACGAGCTCACAGCCCACCTGGTGTTAAGTGGTTACTGGAACCCATAGACATCTACAACGTCAATGCGCCACACACCTTGAGATATAAGTTCTAAGGTCTCGGTATAGTTACAACGGCTGCCCCACCCTTCAAACCGAAACGTATTACTGCTTCACGGCAGAAACAGGCGGGGCGGTGGTACCTACCCGTGCGGACTCACAAGAGGTCCTACCACCAAGTTGATGGTAAAGATTACGTTTAATATTAAAACTGACTCTCAAGTGCTATGACAACTGTTGACTAAAAAAAACCACAAAAAATATTGTGTTTGTGTGGGTGTGTGTGGTCAAAACGTTATCACAAATAGCGTTGATGACTAGCGATTGTGTTTTTTTCCTACCTTTTCTGGTAACCTTAGAGGGTTATGCCAGCGAAACCGAATTAGGTAAGCTCACGGGTTCTAACCTGAGGAAGTTGCTAACACTAGCTGTAGCAAGAGCAGTGCTTCGCAGAATCTATCACCGAATCGGAAACGCGACCCACTGAGACGTTTTTTTTTCTTATTGCCCTTGTAGGCAGACGAGCATACGGCCCACCTGATGGTGAGTGGTTACCGTCGCCCATGGACTTCAGCAATGATAGGGACAGAGCCAAGCTTCTGCCTACCGCTTAATGCTCTCCACAAGCCTCATTTGAAGAAGGACATGTCATAGCGCTCGGGAAACACCGTGAAGGGGAGCTCATTCCATAGCTGGATGGTACGTGGCAAAAAGACCTCTGGAAACACACTGTGGATGACCGCAGTGGCTCCAGGATGGACGAACTCTACTCCGGTGGCGAGCGGTGCGATGGTAAAAACGAGATGCCGGTATCATCTCGAACAATTCCTCAGAGCACTCCCCATGAAACATACGGTACAAAATACAGAGGAAACCGAAGTCCCTCCGCAGACCCAGAGGTTCCAAAAGCAGAACAGCGAGAAACTCAGACATTAATTGCACAACACAATCAATCAAACACAACCATGTTCAAATCAACCCAAATTTACCTAGAGCATTATGGGTGTTCGTGATTAAGTAATTCTCGAACATATTATTCGAAGTTTGCGACTCAAAGAGAGAAACCTTTGAATAATTGCGAAGCTCTTGTTAAATAAATTTACGCAATTCGATCGAGGTGCGTTACGTTTTCGACCTACTTGGATGATGTAAGGCAAAACGTATTAGATTTGTTTTGAATACATTGCAATAAAACTGCCCATTTGATTTTATTTTCCTAATTATGTTGATTATGTGAAATTCGTTGGCCTCTTTCAGACACAGCCCACTGAGTTTCTCGCCGGATCTTCTCAGTGGGTCGCCTTTCCGATTCGGTGGTAGATTCTGCGAAGCACGGCTCTTGTTAGGGTTCGTGTTAGCAACGTCGTCAGGTTTGAGCCCCGTGAGCTCACCTACTAGTTAAGGTTACGCTAAAATAGCCACTCAAGGCTCTCAGCATAGGTACAAAAAAAAAAGTTGGTCAAAAATATCTTTCGATGTTCTTTAGCATTAATGGGTTACGTGAAAGAGCGTATTTATTCGGTGGCTTTGTCTTTTTGTTGTGTTTGATGTGCGTTTTTTGGGTGGGATGATCAACTTTAATAGTCCACCTGGTTGATGACGGGTCATTAAGCAAAACCACAATGCATATCCCGTACGGTAAAAAAAAAATTAAAATTCCCGCCAAAAGATTCTAAATATTTCCGAACTAATTTTGTAGCAACGAGCCTGCAAAAATTTTTCGTTTTACGAAGATTGTGTCGGAATGCATCTGGTGTGGTATTTTTTTACTTGTCACGTTTTTTAGAGGATGGGTTTTCAAAGGTTATTTCTGCCGCGAAATAATACTTTGACTTGGTTTAAAGGGCGAGAACGATGACGCAACACATTTGAGACTTCGAACACAAATCTCAAGGCTATCTACCCTATAAACCTTCAAACTGAGCTACATTGTAGGTAGCGGCTTTTTGGTAGGCAGCGGCTTGGCTCTGCCCATGGTATTCCTGAAGTCCACCGGCGACGGTAATCACTCACCATTAGATGGGCCGTATGCTCGTCTGCCTGCAAGGACAATAAAAAAAATTATGGTTTTTTAAATACCGGACGCTGGTACAATTTTGTGTAATCAAAAA